CAAATATTGATATACATACATACATTTAGCGCAAATATTGCTGTTATATGCATAAATCACACTATAAAATTTGTTCACGATCGGTCCATATTTGGTCATAGCTCCCATACAAGAAAATCACTTAATGCACAATATTCATTACCAAAAAATTTAGCCAAAATTTTGTCTATACATATATACATTAATGTTACATAATTGGTCATAGTTCCCATACAAGGTCCTCTTACGAAAATCTATTAAACTCTCATTACTTATTACTCATTACCAGGGCAACCAAAATATGCAAATGCATGTTTTTTGTGGTGCGTCGTATGTACTCATGGATAAGGTATTTACACGTTTCAGACCAATTTAAGAATTTTGGCATCGATTTGTTAGAGCTTATTTTTGCATATTTTACCCATAAGAGCATAATTTTGCATGATTTGACTTTTTTAGCATATATAAGGCATATTTTCGAGTTTTTAGAGCATATTTTACTCTTTTAGTGCATATTTTGATGTTTTCGCTTCTTTTCGTTTTTGTACATTTTTAATTTTCTTTTCAAAACTTTATTTAAAAAAAATAAAATTTTATTTTTTATTTTTTTTTTTTAATTTTTTAGCCTATTTTACAATTTTGAAATAAAAATTTCGTTTTTTGAACTTGAAAACTGCAAAAAATACATTACTCTCATGAAAACCAATGTTATAGTTTTTTATTCAATAAAGCATTACATTTTAAATCGGACATAAAACCGATTACTTTTGATTTCATGAGACCAATCCATTTTTATAGTTCAAAAAACTAATTATTGGAATTTATGACAACACCGATTAAAATGTCAGTTTAAAAGCTATGAATACAATTGGAAGAAATGTGTCAAACTTTGTCGTTTGAAATATGTTTTTTGGGGACCAAATGGTTTCATGTTATTTATTGGTTATCTGAACGTAAAACGGAATTCTATTAAACTAGTTCTTCAAACTATGAGATGAAACATTTATAAAAAATCTTGTAGGATATAGAATATGACATTAAACATTTATTATTTCATTACAATTTCAGTCTTTTTGAGCTTTTCAATGTTAAAAAATAATTAAAAATTTTATTTTTGGAGCATATATTTTAAATTTTAAGAGCATATTTTGAGTTTTTTACGGCATATTTAAAGCGCTTAAAACACTTTTTTTAGAGCATGTTTTGTTTCCCTGCTCATTACCAAATAAAGCTATTGATACAAAATTTTGCACAAATATTAGTTTTGTATACAAAACTTATATTTTAAGATTTTTTTTCTCGATCGGTTCATAATATGTGTGCGATCGATTTCATACAAGGTTCCCTTCCGAAAATCACTTAAACACACATTACTTATTACTAAATTACGATATAGGTACAAAATTTGACTGAAATATAGCTTTTACGATTTTTTACGATCGGTCCATAATTGGTCATATCTCCCATACTAGGTCCTGCCCCGAAAATTTTAATTTTCTTAAATCTTTCACACAAATTATTAAATATCGCTAAAGCATATCTTTTAAAATATAAAAGAAAATGGCGTTTGTAATGTTCAATAAATCTTGCAATTGTATCAGATTTAAGCTTGTTAAATCTTGGGGTTTTTTTTATTTAAGACATGAGAATACTTATTTCTACAAATATTTGGTCAATTAAAAAAATTAAATATAAAAGTAGGTGGTGGATGGTATTTAAGATTCGGTTCATCCGAATATAGCACTCTAACTTGTTCCAACTCAATTCTTCATTGGAGGGATTTTAAGTAAAAAGAAACTTCGAAAGAGGAGGTGGCTCTATTTTTCGGAACATCACTGTATGTATACACAAAACATATTTATGTTGAATATTAGCAGCATTTTTAAACAATTGGATTTATTAAATCCAAAATTTAGTTCTCCCTCTGTACGCCAGGTGGATAAAGCAAAAGGTTTTAATCGAGGCTAAACAAATTTCAAATCACAATGTCAGCAGCGGCCGACAGATGGAGTTATTTCAAAATTTAATATTAAATTTGTAAATTTTCCATAAAATTTGTAACAATTTGTTGCAAAAATTGGTATTTGCACTGAAATATCATGTTTGAAATATTTAAGTTACATGAATTTTGTTTATTTTCCTATTTTTATACATTTTAAAAAATATTTGCCATCTATTGGTGAATAGCAAAATAAAACAAATTAAATCATTTTTAAATTATTTTGGTTATATTCTATGAATACAAAGCATTGCCATATTGAAATTAGCTAAATCCAACTATTTTTTTGGATTTAATAAATCCAAGTTGGATTTACTTCTTTTAGCTGCAGAACCGCCATTGTTGCACTAAAATTAATTTTTCTTTGACCTTCTATTAGCATATACAGTGTATTTTCAGATTATGATGACCAAAACTAAATTTCAGCCTCCAAAGATAGTTTTTTCTTGAAATAAAATAAATCCAAAATAAATCCAGTGATTAAAAAAAGCCCCTATTATTCCAATATCTTTATTTCTTAATTGGTTATTTGTATTTAAGTATTTTTCGAAAGTGGACCATATATAGGAGCTGGGACCAATGATCGACTTATACAGATCTACGTTGGTAACATGATTTTTGTACATATTATATACATTTGTGCAAAATTTCTTGGTGATACAGATATTTTTGCCGAAGTTATTAACAATAAATCTATTTCCGAGAATATGTGCCTTTGTATGGGGGCTATGAGAAATTTTGAATCGATTGTTTTGAGTTTGAACATTTTTAATCCTTGGGTAAACAAAATAACATGTGACAAAATTCATTCCATTATATTTAGTAGTTTCTGAGAAAACTACTCAAGAATCAGGAAAAAAACTTAATTTTTTTCGAGGTAGTCTGAAATTTTTACTCATAACTTTTTACGTTGTGGACCGATTTGGCTGATCAATATTAAACTGCTTAGGACAATAGTGAATATTTTCAGTGAATTTTTTGTTTTAACGTGAGCGTGTTTTTCACAGACAGACAGACGGACACAGATGAATATTTCTTGGTGTTACACACGGAATGACAAACTTATATACCCTCTATCACCACTGATGGTGGTGAAGGGTATAACAAGCAAGTCGGATTAGATCAGGGATGTATTTTTATGTAAACACATACGTTTTATACCAATCGTGTAAACACAAAAAATATAAATCATACCACTTTTATTAAATTTTTTGTCATACGGATGGAATTTCATTTTACTTTTTTATTAGACTTGTCGTACGTAAAGTGTGATCGTCTGAAGGGCCCTTAAACAATACGTAAGCTGCACAAGCAAACTGTTTTTATTGTTCAGTCGTGGTGTTAAGTTCGGTTGATTTGAAAAACTTAACATGGCCGCTGCTTGTTTGTGTGGCTGCTAAAGAAAACCAAAATCACTTGCAAGTTATTGCAGCAGAGTGTTGTTGACACAGTTGACTGACTTCAGTTAGCTTTTGAGGGAAAAATTTAATGAGTTACAATGCATGGAATTTTTAGTAAATATTTAGTAATTTGCGACTGCAATTAGATTTTTTTGAAACCCTGCTTTTATTATGCCCTCCACCAATATCAGTGGTGATAGAGGGTATATATAACTTTGTCATTCCGTGTGTAACACCAAGAAATATTCATCTGAGACCCAACAGAGTATATATATTCTAACTCGATTTAGCTATGTCCGTCTGTCTGTCTGTGAAAAACACGATCACGTTAAAACGAAGCAATAAAAATTCGCGAAATTTATCCTTTATTATCCGGTATTGAAAATCAGCAAAATCGGTTCACGAAGTAAAAATCACTCTATATATGAATCACTCTACGAAATGTTTTCCGGATAGGCCCGTAATTGGTCACAGCTTCCATATAAGGTCCACTTCCGAAAATCACTTAAACGCATATAAATATTTCTTTGAATTATAGAGGTATCGGGATAAAATTCGACTTGGTCTATAATTGGTAATAGCTCCCATATAAGGTCCACTTCAAAAAATTACTTAAACGCACATATTTCATTATCAAATAAAGATATCTTAATAAAATTCGTCCACTTCCAAGAATCCCTTAAACCCACATATTTCAATAATTAATAAATCTTATCTAAATCTGGAGTAAAATTCGACATGATTTTTTTTTGCATATAAATCATTATAATTTTTTCCTGATCGGTCCATAATTGGTCACAACTCCCATATAAGGACCCTTTTCGAAAATTGCTTAAACGCGCATTGACAATCAAAGTTATCTGGATAAAATTCAACATAAATGTGTATTTTGTATATATAAATTGTTATACGGAATTTTACTTCTGAAAATCACTTAATACCACTTAATTCATGAGTATGTTCAGTGTATAGATAAATCATTCTATTAAAATGTTTTCGAACTGGCCTATTAATATAAATTTGTCTGGACCTATAAATGTTAGTACCCTCACTACGGAAACAAAAGTTTTGTCAAGTTATCTAAAAATTAGATAGTTAAATGGGTTTTAATAAAAAGTAGCTTGCTAGTGGAGGCTATTTAAGATTCGGCTATGCCGAATATAGCACTCTAACTTGTTTTTTCACTAAAGCACTCTCTCGCTAACCACCACTGATAGATAAATCATTCTGCTAAAATGTTTGACGTCGGAGTAAAACTCGACAGAAACATAGTTTGTAAATATACAAATAATTTTCCTAATTTTTTGGCATCGGCAAGATGAGCCCATAATATGTTATAACACCCGTAAAAAGTCCATATCACTTAATATAAATATTTTTCGATCTAATCAATATAAGTTCCACATAAGCATATTGAAATTACTAAATAATAGTACCCTCACTTATGCCAAGTTATCTAAAAACTAGATATTTAAATGGGTTTTAATAAAAAGTAGCTTGCTGGTGTAGGGTATTTAAGATTCGACATAGCCGAATATAGAACTCTAAATTGTTTTATTTTAATTATTTTATTAAAGAAGTCGTAATTGTTTCTGATCCTGAAATATTTCATATTTTTTCAGAAGTCTACGAAAAGTACTCGCAAACGACCATGTGAGAAGTTAGTGAATTATGAAAGTGACAAAATAACTTGGAGAAATGTACATGATAGTGCCACTAGTGTTATAGGTGATAACAAAGAGAAGGAATTTCGCAGTGATGTTGGAAATACTGTAGATTATAGTACAAAATTTAAAAAGAAAACTCTTGAAGCCAAAGAAGCTCATTTTATTGAGGCATTAGCACAGAAATACGAAATAACCTATTATAACAATACCAACTGCAAAAATAATTACACAAACAACAATAACAATCTAATAAGCAATAATAGTAACAATAATGGTACCAACAGCAATGAGTTTTGGCAAATGGCACGATTATGCATGCAACGACCAATGAACAGTGATCAAAATAACAAAGTACAACAGCAACAAGAACATATTCATCAGCAGCAATTGACACGTTTGCCAACTTTTTACTATCGACAGCAACAATTTCTTCTATCACCAGCCGAACAGAGTCAACAACAAAATAATTTATCGCCATCATTTCCAGCCACACAGCACGGGTACCTACATCTTCAAGCAGTACAAAACAGTAAATGTCATAATAATTATTCCAACGAAATATTACAATCGCAGTCACCCCATTCTTCCAGTCATACACCGCTGTCAACGGTAGTAAACACTCCCGAATCCTCTGCTAACTTTGCTTCATCCTACATCAATATGCGCCAGAATAACCACGATCCAACAAGTAAACCACAAACTTGTCCCAATGGAATTGGTTAAATGGAATTTAAAAAAATATGGAGAATTTCATGTCAAGTGACCCAACACAAAAAATCGATTTCGACGAAATTTGCACTATTTTTTCAAAATGGACGTTTTTGTTGTAGAAAGCGTATACCATTGCCTTTAAGAGCTTTGTGATTACTTAGTGGGATGCGACTGGGATATTTGTATATATAAAAAAATTTTAACTCCAAAAGTAAAGTTTTTGAGTTAAAATATAATAGGGGAAAATTAAGTGCTAATATTAAACAAAAAAATATTCTTGAGTTAAAAAATAATTTTTTTGATGGATATCCCACTCGCATTCTATTATGGGACTATAAAGCCCTTTAAGGAAATTGTATAAGCTTTCTTTTAAGCAAAAAAATAATAAAATAATAATAATAAAAAAAAAAATTTAAAAATATTTAAAAATTAATTTTTTTTGGAAAGAATGAAGAAATTGCTCTCTGAACTCCTTTGGATAATTTTTGCTAGGACCAATGGTGAAAAGATATACTCATTTGAATAAAACCTTGTATGACCAAAATGTCCAACTTTGACCCCCTCTGACTCCGGCAGTTCTTGGCCGATAGAGAATTTGTGTCCGGCCTAGTATCACATAGTACTGACCTTGGTGCAAATTTCATCCAAATCGGAAGACATCGATTTTTAAACTTGGGTTACTTGACACGAAATTCCCCATATACATATATTAGGCCATAATTATTACTGCGTTCAAATTACATACATACATATATAATTATTTATTTATTAAACTACCCAGCAAAAACTCGGTACTTCCATAACCACTTACTTTTCAATGACTACAACTTTCCGTCTGCATTACTAAGAAGTACTCTAGTAATGACTTTCTTATAATCTGATATAGAAGTACTTTATTTTCGGCTTTGTCATTTTGTTTGCACATTTTATTTAAATGCGTTATAAGAATTGTGTTTTACAAAAAAGAAAACAAAATTAGTTTTGTATGTGAAAACCATTATTTGACGCGCAATAAAATAGTTAAGCAGTGGTGCAGTGTGTAGAACATTTGACTAACAAACCAATTCCTGCTTCGTATTCTAGCTGGCTCTTTTTATTATTAAAAAACAAAACAACTTACTCAACAACTGTTTAGTAAGAGAAATTGCAAGTACTTCTTTAACTCCCTATTTGTAAGCGTGCGCAGAAGTACTTGCCTCCAATGACATCACCGTGTAAAAATAATGACTTAAAATGCTAATGAAGAAGTAGTGAAAAGAGTTTTTATTAGCTTTTTAACTCATTACTTTTCAATGTAAGTTTTTCCTGGGTAGTTTTTAAAACAATTTTTTTCAAGGTTGGCAACCGTTATCGCTAAGCTATCGTTACCTCAAAAACACTTTTCAGCACAACTACCGTTACCGCTAAAATACCGATACCGAAATAAGCCAAAATACCAAAAACGCTAAAATATCAATACCGAAATAAGTTAAAATACTGATAACGCTAAAATACCAATACCGAAATAAGCCAACTTACCTATAACGCTAAAATACCAGTACCGATATTTTATTAAAAAAAAAAAAACTAAAATTTCCAAAAAATTAGTAACTCACTTTATTAATATTGTTAACATCACTGGCGTTTTTTATTTCTATCTCAAACATTGACAACAACAAATTGATTTTGTCATTTGATTATATTGATTTTGTCATTTGATTATATTAATTTTGTCATTTGTAACATATCGAAATATAGGTCATAAACCCACAAAAGTATATATATTATGGGTCCTTATTAAATTATAACCCCCATTATCTCAATGTCTGGATATATTTTATCGTAAGGTTAAATTAAAATTCTATGAGTATCGGTTCATAATTGACGCATATAAGGCCCCCTTCAGAATATTACTCTTAGGCTCACGGTTTAAAAATTGAACAAAAAATATTTTGCAAAAATTAATATTTTGTTAGTTCAAAGGAGCTCGGTCCATAATTGACTTAAGCCATATTCCAAATATCACCCTGATGTTCCTTTCCATTCCTTTTACGGCATACAATTTTATGATGGGTATAAGAGATTCTGCACAGCCGAATATAGGACTCTCACTTGTTACTTTTCATTTATGTTTTATTAATGAATGAAAATTTTAAAAAAGTACATAAAACAATAATACCAATGTTATTTTCTTATATTTAAAAGTTTGCTGATGCATTTATGAACATATTTTTAATTATTTAAATCATATCGAAATGACCCCTAAAATATATTTTTTGTACCCTACCGATAACCCTAAAATATCAATACCGAAATAAGCCAAAATACCGATAACGCTAAAATACCAATAACGAAATAAATGAAAAAACCTACAACGCTAAAATACCAATACCGAAATTAGTCAAAATACCGATACCGCTACCTTATCACCGTTTCGAAACGGTTGCCAACCTTGATTTTTTTCTTTTAATACATACATATATACATACATACACATACATACATACATACATACATACATACATACATACATACATACATACATACATACATACATACATACATACATACATACATACATACATACATACATACATACATACATACATACATACATACATACATACATACATACATACATACATACATACATACATACATACATACTACATACATACATACATACATACATACATACATACATACATACATACATACATACATACATACATACATACATACATACATACATACATACATACATACATACATACATACATACATACATACATACATACATACATACATACATACATACATACATACATACATACATACATACATACATACATACATACATACATACATACATACAGACATACATACATACATACATACATACATACATACATACATACATACATACATACATACATACATACCTACATACATACATACATACATACATACATACATACATACATACATACATACATACATACATACATACATACAGACTACATACATACATACATACATACATACATACATACATACATACAATACATACATACATACATACATACATACATACATACATACATACATACATAACAGACATACATACATACATACTACATACATACATACATACATACATACATACATACATACATACATATACATACATACATACATACATCATACATACATACATACTACATACATACATACAATACATACATACATACAATACATACATATATAGAGGCCAGCCACAATTCTATTTCGATTGATAATCGTTTATTTAAATTTAATTTCGAATTTGTTTGATTTTTACACAGAGGGAAAATATTTTCTAACAAACGTTTTATGGAAATAAATTTTATTTACTGATTCAATAAATGTTGTTTGAGTTTTTGTTTTACGTCTGCATACAACAATAAAACTAGTTTTGGAATATATTAAAATGAATTGATATAATTCTTATTTGGTTTATAACATTAATGTATAAGTATTTCAGTTTTAACCCTACAAAGTAATACATTCTAGAATGAGAATTGAATTGTTGTAAGTATACAAGTTATATATTTATACGAATTTTAGTTTTATTGAATCCGTGGCATTGTTGTTAAAATTTCATATATATTTTTTTAACAAATTTTTTATAGATTCAATAATGCATTGAACACATAGTCAGCGTTACCCTTGGAAAATTTCGAAAAGTCACACAAAAAGGGGATTTTTCGGAAAAAAAAGTCGTACTGAAAGGGGATTTTTAACGCAAAAAGTGTCAACGTAGGTAAAATTTCATTTGTATTTAAATGTGCATTAATTTGGTAAATAAATCAAAATAGTTAACCATGATCAGTGTTGCCACTTTTGTTATTATTAACCAAAATTGGTTATTTTTATTTTGCATGTGTACATGTGAATTATTTTTTCGTTTTGGTTATTTTTTGCAATGTGTAATATGTGGAATTTTTTTTTTTACTATTCGAAATTTTTTTATTACTGCAATTTGTACATCTACTGGTTATACTTATGTACACAAAGGTATTTTTCGATATCTTAATTGGTTAGGATTTAGCAAAAGTACCTATGAGCTTTCCACATATTAAATGAGTTGATTTAAATCATAACAACATCGTAATATTATTTTATTTACACTAGTCAATCTAACACCGTGAATAATGAATCCTCTCTCTCCTTTTGGTGCATCCATGAACTTAAAGTCACTTTTTAGGTCGATTCAAACTCGTCCGTCCTTCCGTTAATAGTTCTATTGGAACTTTTTATGTAAAGAACTCGCGGTACTTATATGAAAAAACGAAGTAGGCTGTATTTCGCATTTCGATTTTTATGGAATTTGGTGGGAATAGTCTACGTACTTAGTACATTATGTCCTCCAAATTATATTTAAAATTTAAAGATACTGTGCTAATTTGCCGAAATTCTAAGATAAATGATTTAATAAGAATTAATAAAGTATTTTCCGCTAATTGATGCAAGAATAGTATCACAATATCTTTAAAGTATTAATCAATTGATATTTTTAAGTAACACCGCTAAGGAAAATGAAATTGTATTGTATACAAAAGTTGTAATAACATCTAAACTCGTACGACGAACAATAATCGCGATATATTCAAAGATTTAATACTCATGATATTTGACTTCTACTATCTCACCATGACTTTTAGTTCTTTATTTACATTTTCTAGATGATGTTGTATACTAGTTTTTATTTTACTGTCTTAAATTCTAAATTTTTGTCAATTTGTCGGATAATTTGGATAGATTACGTTTACAAATATTGCTGAAGTTATGAATGTAATGCTAACATCCGCTACATGATATTATAATTTAAACTCAAATTTCGAACGAAATCTCCAAATCAGTACATAAAATGGGAAGAATTTTATAATTAAAAACTCAGTTATTTTTTAAAATAAATATTAATTACACTTATTAACGAATCCGCGAAGAGACTTATATTTATTGTTGAAAACACGATAGAGTCGAAAAGAAAC